TTTCATGATTTTGAGAATGAGAATGATTTTCCGAACACTGACTCTTGGAATATAATCATTAAAAATTCGAAGAGAATCTTAGAATGAATTCATAAATTTTTGGCCACAGAAAAAAATTGACTTTTAACTATCGCATAACGGCCCATGTGTGTTGATGAATGGGTGCGATATCCTACGCAGGTGTGGAAGCTGCCTTCCTGCACATTCGATTGCCGTCAATGGATGGCAATCGATGTCCGTCGGTGATTGGCACTAGATTGCGGAACAGAGACCGACGTTAAATAAAAAAGGAAGGAACTATCAACAATCAATACGAAACTAACGATTTTAAATTGGCTCACCACTTTAGTAGCCTATTGGTCCCAAGCAAACGATTAACGTACCCTATTCTAGTTGAAATTCTATTACTACACTATGTTTGTTTTGATTCGCTATGAAAGTTTGACAGATAACATCAGGGGTGTGTGGATTCATGCAGAACATGCAGGGGTGAGTGAAATAGCTTGGGACTGCTTGGGACCGTTGTTCTGGTACTGAGTGAGCCAAAAATAATAATGATTTTCTTCGGGACCCAGTGGTCTTAGAGTTACCTCTATGGAACTATCGCATAAAATCGCCCTTCGTTTAATTTTGAGCTACAGTTGGCATAAACAACGAAATCGCTTACAAGCTTGCATACAATATTGCTAGTTTAAGTTTAAGCGAAATATTGTGTAAATTTATGCCAAATCTAGCGTTAATTTTATGTGCGCTATATCTCGCAGAAATGTACATGAACTTTTCAAACGGTGTATGCGACTAGACTACCATGCGTCTCCATCGATTTATAGCGGGTGTAACATAGTCACGACGCATGGTAGTCTAGTCGCATAAGAGAATTGAGCGAAAACCCAAAACCACAGACAAACAGACATACACTCGCAAGTTGTTCATCGAACATGCATTTAACGATCAATTAAAATGTTTTCAGTTGGTAGTACCGCCAACAATCAATACGAAACTAACGATTTTAAATTGGCTCACTACTTGACTAGCCTATTGGTCCCAAGCAAACGATTACTTACTTAAGTGTCCTGAGCGCCATCCCTGGCGCAAAGGGCCAACGTGAAAGATCTCCATCCTGGGCGATTGTTTGCTTTCGCCTTGACCTGGGCCCAGGTCAAATTCCGGTCGACTTGCTTAATCTCCTTGTTTAGGCTTCGCCGCCATGAGCCCCTGGGTCTGCCTCTGCTGCGATGTCCGGCTGGATTAACGCACCCCATTCTAGTCAAAATTCTAGTACTACGCAATGTTTATTTTGATTCGCTATGAAAGTTTGACAGATAAAGTGAGGGGTTTTTCCTATGTTTCGAGGGGTGAATCGATTAGCTTGGGACCGAAGAAAGTACCAGAGCTGAGCCAAAAAGTTGAGCACGTTATTTTGGGACCTTCTAGTCTTAGAGTTACCTCTATGGTACACTTCTGTGTTGAAAATAATCCCTTAAAATAGTGTTCACTCAAGCAAGACAAAATACAAATATTAATCTTCAGAGTTCTATCAATAATCAATACGAAACTAACGATTATAAATTAGCTCACTACTTGGCTAGCCTTTTGGTCCCAAGCAAATCGACTAACGTACCTCATTCTAGTATAAATTCCAGTGCTATACTATGTTTGTTTTGGTTCACTATGAAAGTTTGACAGATAAAATGAGGGGTTATTGGATTTTCCTATGTTTTGAGGGGTGAATCGATTAACTTGGGACCGAAGAGAGTACCAGAGCTGAGCAAAAAAGTTGAGTACGTTATTTCGGGACCTTCTAGTCTTAGAGTTACCTCTATGGTACCGCCACCTGTGGCGCACATAGACAATTCTCTGCGTTTGACGTTTACACACTACCGCCATCTGTTGAGCGTACTACCCATCACAGTATACTCAACAGATGGCGGTAGTGTTTAGGCGACGATTTTTAATATAAGCTATTTTACCTGACGTCTTGATGACAGTTCCTGGCGGGCCACTCGAACGCGCTCGAGGCATTCTTATTGTTTACGTCTGATGTTATTGTTTTGATTTTGGTCGTGGTATGTCAACAAATCGGCCCGCTGGTAAACGTCAAAATAGATAAACAGAAAAAAAAACAGCTGACTCGAAACGTCTCGTAAAATGCCTTATTGAAAAATATTCAATACACACTTACAAAAAATTACCGACATCGGTAATTCATTTACCGAATTCTCAACAGCTGAACGGTTAGTAATGTGTTCGTTAATCGAGAACATTACCGAAAAATCTGTAAACTGGATCAGAAAAATTAGCTGTCAAATTTACCGAACGATCGGTAACGTTTACCGAAAAAACAAGCTTGATTTGTAATTGATTTTACCGGAGAAATGTAATTTTGGAGAAAGATCTGTAATTTTTTAAAAAGTCTACTGACTCAAATTTAATTCGCTATAATATTGTTTCAAAGTGTTTTCTGGGTTTTATCAATTATTTTAATTAAATACAAATGCTCAGATGAATAATTTTGTTGAGTTCATTCAATGATGTATCTGATTCACGGGTAGAACTTGCTTCATCGCATTGAGTAGGCATCCCATGACCGATGAAAAGAGTTTCCCCGGCTGGAACAATGCTTACAAGTGGATGCTTCTCAATGATATGGCGTTTTAAAGAATAGAAATTTCTATATCTTGCATCACATTTCAGATATGTACAATCAAAAATTGTATTTGCCGGTATAAAATCTTTCTTTTTTATGTGGTCATTGATGTGACGGTGCAGTCCGGTAACATAACCTGGAACTTGCAACCAACAGAAAAAAAAAACAAGCAACAGAATCGGCCATCTGTAACAATGGGCATTTATTTAGATAACGAAATATCATTACTTACGGAAAATATCTACGATTCGCTCATCTTGGTGTTGCAGCTGGTCCATAACAGCCTCCATCCACAGACAAACAGACGTAACTCTTTGAAAAAGTTTTTCTTGAAAACATAGTATCTCAAAACATAGGACCTCAGTAACGACATCTCTCAGGCTTCTCACGGAAAACAAGCTTGCTCCCTAACTCGCAAACAATATTGCATGAAAGTTGTATAGAATGTATAGAAACGTCAAAGTGATCCGATGCCAGCGCTGCGGTGAATAGTTCGCGAAACTGATAATATTCAAATCAACCGTTAAATGCGTGAACGAAGATATACAATGAAGAGTTACGTCTGTTTGTCTGTGCTCCATCATTGAAGCTTCCACTTGCAAACTTTTTTTTAAGAAGATCGAAAATCACAATATGGCGATTTTGACATTTCTCGCTGTGAAAACTACCGAACTCGGTAATGGAACGGTTTGTTTACCGAAACTTCAGTAAAATATTTCACCGAAGTCAGTGATAAAGCTGATTAACAGATCTGCCGGTAATTTTTTTTACCGTTTTCGTTGAATTGAAATGAAATCACCAAAATTCGGTTTTTAGGACCACTCTGTTTGCAATTTTCATCAAAATAAAGAGCTTTTCAAGGGCAAATTTTCATTACGTCGAAAATAACAAAGGTAAACAAAGTCGAGCTATCAGTGTCAATCGAAGCTCCTGCTATTACACTATACTGCCGTTATACGCATAAGAGTCCCATGGTGCATAAGGATTGCATAGAACATGGGACAGTTATGCGTTACTGTCCGAATATGGGAACACATTCCATTTTTAAATTTATTTACCAGTCAAATTGCTTTTTGATGTAATCACCTTCCGATCAAAATATTTTTCGATGTTACTTTAGTCACCCGATTTCTATGGAGATGCCGTTTGTCTTAAGTAACAGCACAGAGAAACCAGTGAAAAGTGTACGTTCGTCGTTTCACTTTCTCATAATTACAGTGAATAAATCGAACTGTTTGTTGCTAAGATGATTTCGGTGGTCCTAAAATGGTGAATGGGCTGCACGAAATGAGACATGATTGATAATTCTCTCGAATATCCTGGAACGACGTATAATAACTTTTGACTCAAAAACCAGTATTTTTTAGCATGAAAGCTAGCAATCTGCTTTGATTAAAACCCTGCTTAATATGTTAAACATTGCTATCACTATGTGATTATATGCGTTGAATTGGAAATAGGAATAACTTTTCGGTCATCAAAACAAAACTTTATTTTTCTCGGATCGGTGCGAATGTTACTTTCGACGTAATGAAAATTTGCTCTTGTTTTTATAAGCAACATATTCACACAGCAATTTCATAATCAAATTATTTGTTTGTTCCTAATTTTTATTTCTGGGCGAACGTCACTTTGCTGCTAAAACGAGAAATCAAATCGACGCTCTGCAAAAAAAGTGACGTTCGAAAATCAAACTTCACATTTTTACATTTTAATATTCAGAGCATCAAACCGCACTCATTGACACAAAACTTGAATTTGGACCTTTGTTCATCATTGCGAGGGAAACAAGTCAAAAAGCAAAGACAAATGACAACACACCCTTGCAAACTAACTGCACCGTCTGATAGACCCAATTTTGCTCTATTAGAAGGTGCAGTTAGTTTGCGTGGGCCTTGCATTTGATGTTTGATGCACTAAATATAAAAATTAAAAAATGTGAAAATTGGCCTATACGTTGTGTCACACGGCACTCGGCAGTGTATGTTACATAACTTTACAGAAAAAGAAAATCGAAGTGTAAACACATCGATTTAAGGCTCTGTGCTCTACCTCATATAACAAATTTTGTTCCTACTGACGCACAGTTTCCGTTCATTCTTCATTCATCAGTATCACACAGCTGTTGTAGTGCTGCGTTATTCAACAGTGTATTTGTTGGGTTTCATTTGTTTTGTTGATTCGGTAACAGCTTCATAAAAGAAAAAAGCCTTAGTATAGAAAAGTGCTCAATTTTTGAACGTTCTTCCATAGCGTATTGGTGAGTATGCGGATTTTTATAAGCTAAAAATAACCCCATCAGTTATTATTATATGTGTTTGCGTGTATCGTGACTTTCAATTATTCCTTAAAGGTCTACGATCCCTGTCCAGCCGGCTGTTCAAAATGAATCTTCTAGCTCGAAGCTCACTTCTGCCGCGCATCAGTATTAGTCGTAGCGCGATCATCGCTAGTAGCAATATCAATAACACCACCGGTACTTATCTTTTTTCGGCTGATAACAAACAATCAGTGTCTAATACTGACTTCAAACGGTGAGATTCCTACCTTGCTATAGATTTTTCACGAATTAAAGAATTGCGGATTTCATTGCAGACATTTCTCCAAGTCGGCGCTTAGCAATATGAAGTTCGTTCAGTTCAAAACCGGTTCCGCGAGCAGCCAGCGATTGGGTGTGCTATCGGAGGATGGCAGCAAAGTTTCCGACATCACGGAAAGCTTTTCCGGAGATCTGATCCAGCTGATCAAGTCCGGTACGTCGTTGGATGCCGTGAAGGCGAAACTCGGCCAAGCCAAACAGTTGGCGACGAGTGATGTGAGCTTGCTGGCTCCGGTTACCAATCCGCAGAAGATTCTGTGCGTTGGACTAAACTATCGGGGCCATTGCGAGGAACAGAACAAGCCCATTCCGAAGGAACCGATGTTCTTTAGCAAGTATGCTTCGACGATCGTTGGGCCGTTCGATGGAGTTGTGGCGCACAAGATTACCGATGTAAGTTTGAAAGGACGGGGGTTCCTGGTAGGTGGTAATGGTTCAAATTTGAATGTTTCAGCAAATCGACTGGGAGGTTGAGCTGGCGGTCGTCATCGGTAAGGAAGCCAAACACGTGTCCAAGGCGAATGCGATGGATTACGTGTTCGGGTACACGGTAGCTCAGGACATTTCTGCTCGCGATTGGCAAAAGACCCGCAACGGAGGGCAGTTTCTGATCGGTAAATCGATGGATACGTTCTGTCCGCTGGGACCGGCAGTCGTTCACAAATCTCTGATTAAGGATCCGCACAATTTGAGCATCAAGTGTGACGTCAACGGAGTTGAGAAGCAAAAGGGAAATACGAGCGAGTTGGTTTTCAGGATCGATGATATTATCGAACGGGTTACGCAGTAGGTGTTCTTCTAGAAGCGATTTGAAGGTCAGTTGATGGTTAATGGTTTGTTTGTTTCTAGATCAATCACACTGCTGCCTGGGGATGTCATTCTGACTGGAACACCTGCCGGTGTTGGAATGCACCGCAGCCCACCGGAGTTCCTGAAATCCGGAGACGTGATCGATAGCGAAATCGAGTCGATTGGAAAGATCAAGAACAAGGTTGTGGCTGATCAATAAGTCAAAAGAAGTTGTGCAATTCGAAACGGGAAATGAATAAAGTTTTATCGATTTATTTTACTGCCTAGAAGCAAATCTACAATCAATCAACAACCCCCTTAATATTTCACCGGTTTGCGTCTCGTTTCGCGGAACTCCTCCCTCGTGTGGTACGGCGTGTAAGGATCGTTGATGTAGAACCGTGGTCTCTTCCAGTACTTGGTAACCATACTATCCAGTAGGGTTGCCTGTTGAGAATTCACCAGCACGTGCTGCCTCAGGCGCCTCTTCCGTTCGGCCGACTTTTTCCACATGTGCTTATGGCGACCGGCTTTGGTACGGATCCATCCACCCCAGTCCAGACGTTTGAAGCGCTTGATCACCGGCTTGACGCTCTTCCTCTTGCCGCTACGCATGGAGAATTTGATGACCGTCCGAACGGGTTGCCGTTGCAGCTGAATCGGAACTGGGGTGGTGATGGAGTTCAAAATGCTGGGACCGCTTTGTGCGGTGACGGTGAAGGGCGTACGCTGTGAACCAGTACTGGCATTGCCAATCCGAAGGAGGGTCGAGAAGCTACGAGTTAGTGCACCGACGTCGTTGATTGGTTTTGGGCTGGCAGCGAACCGGCTGGCGGTGGACGTTCGCGCAAGGTTTCTGGCCGCTGAAATGGGGGAAATTGCTGTTAACTTACGGGTAATAAACGAGAACGGGGAGCTCACCTAAACAGACTACCGTTCTCAACATTTTACACGATTTTTATGGGTTAATTGTGTGGAAAACTAGCAAATTCTAGCAAAACATTTCAAAACCAGTGATTTTTTTGACAGCGATCACATAACAACTTTGATGGAAATAGACGTGTTTCACTTCCTCTTCTGTGAATTTTACTGTGAAGATGCCTAATATTGACGTTTCTCACAAACAGTCGTCGCCGTCGCAGTACATGTGCCTTTGTTTTGTTTCTCTCTGTTCATCTTCAATCAAGTTTATTGAATCGCAATTTGTTGTGAAATTCCGTTCTAAAAAGTGTTCAAAAATGGCTCAAGGAAAAATTAAAGTTAAAACAAAGTCCATTGGGAACACAAAAAAACCAAACAAGAAGGGAAGCGCTTTCATTTCGCGAAAAAGTAAGTTGTTAATAAGTATGCTTTTGAACTACCAATTTACCGTCCACGAACTTTCACACATCAGGAGCGCCGGTCCCATCAAAGAAGCACAAGTTCGAAGAGGCATACAAACTGAAGCATGTGATCAGCAAAACGGTGAACCAGAAGAACGAAGACGGCATCCGGAAGCTGGTCTACGAGGGTCAGCGCAATCTCAGCCAAGCCCAGCAAGCCGTCAAGGAGCACCACAAAAAGCAAGGGGAAACCCAGAAAGCGGGTACCTCGACTCCGTCGAGCTGATTCCTAGGTGCAACGTTCAACTTGTATAAAAAGTTAATACCTTTAATTAAACTGTCGTTTAGTAAAAATGTAAGGCTTTTGCATTTGTTTGTTTATTTGCCTTCACTAAGGTGTTGGAAGTTTATTCGTAAGCTAATAATATAAATTGCATTGAAAAATAATAACTATTTCTATGACTTGATTAACACATTTCTCGTAAGTCATGCAAACTTAGCTGCTTTTCTTCTCCTCACCCGCCTCGCCGTCTTCACAGTCATCATCGTCAACGCATTTGACATCGATCAGCACCTTTCCGGTGCATTGCTTCTTCTGAATAAACTCCACCGCATTCTGAATCTTATTCAGCAGAAACACCTTACTAATGTATCCGGCAATCATGCCCTGCGATCGCATCTCAATGGTATCGGCAATCATCTGCCGGTAGACGTCCTCATCGGGATGTTCGTACAAATCGACGTGCTTTACGCCGTCAATCAACTTGGCGGCATTCTGCTGATCCTGTTCGGTGCGTTCCTTCTTCTTGGGCAGTTCATACTCCGGTTTGGATGCTTTCAACTTCTCCTGATTGTAGAACGGATCGACCGAAAACAGTTGGCCCTTTTCCGGGTCGACACTGTAATTAAAAGATACAAACTTACAATTCGATTGAAACAAAAACTCCTGAACTCACAAATCCGCCAACAAATGTAGCAGTCCCTTTCCAACGGCGTCGTAAGCTATTTTCGCTTTTTTATCACCCATCGCATCCGCTATGTTCTTGTAGAGTTTCGTATAATTCTTGGTCATGCTAACAGTCTTATAAGCTCCTTTCTGCCTCACCAAATCCGAACTGCTCTCCGTATCGCAAATAGCAATAACCTTCGCTTTGTAGACGGCAACGGCCAAATCGATCGCTGCCAGTCCCATCCCCGCCGGACCAGCCGTGATCAACACCAAATCGTTCTCCTGCAGCTGGCAGTGCATCGCAAAAGTCAGCAGAGCCGTTCCATGCCCGTACGGCATGACGGTCATTTCCCTCAGAGGAACCTCGGACGGAACTTGCCATACGTCTCGGTTCTTAACCACCACTTCCTCTATCAATCCTCCATTAGGATCTTGTAAATCGTTCATAACTACCACGCGATCACCTCGCTTCAGGAAGTTCGGATTGGCCTTCCCAATCTCCACAATCTCCCCGGAAATCTCATGTCCCGGAATGAAAGGAAGCGGTACCTTCAAGTCCGGATGCTTACCGGTAATGATCTGCACGTCGGTCGAATTGAGACTGCAGTAGTGGACTTTGATTCGAACCTGTAGTTGCATAAACAAAATTACACCAGACACGGGAATGACCAGCGGTTAATTAACTCTTACCTCATCATCTTTCAGCTGATCGACTCGTTTCACAGTTTCCAGCACCACCGGCTTACCGATCTCGTGCAGAACTGCTGCCCTGTGCGATTGCCTCAAAACGATCGATGCATTCCGAGCTAAACTACTTCCCGTTCTGGTGAACGTGGATCGAACTAACGAGCTGAACATTTTGGTTTTAATTTATCGAACATTTAGCATTGAAACAGTGAATAGGTAATCGGAACGTTTCGTCCCTTTCCACCACCGCGGATTAAGTCGATAGATCAGTGCACGGTCCCTAACCTCACTTTTTGCTTCCTATCATTTTGTCTGTGAGTAAAAGAGATGGCAACGAATGGGAGCCAAAACAAACCACCCAAAACTGTCAAAATTTACGGGAGAGGGAAGAGTGCCGCAAATCTTCGTGCACTGATCTATTAAGTACTTTCGCACGGAAATTCCGATAAGAAGGAATGAATAAAATAATTTCAAAGCAAAACAAGCCGCTGGCTGTCTAATTGCAAACATTGGAGACTACGTGATTCACTTCCTTTTGCTCCACATGAAAAAAAGATCTGAACAATGCATTACACGGAAAGACGAAACAACTCAAAATCGAGATAAAAAGTACTTAAAAAGTCCGCCAACACTACTGTTTTGAGTGAAATTTTGTTCTCATTTATGAGTACTTTAAACTTAATCTCGTAGTATAATCCGATCACTTACTTTTTGTTAATTGTACTCAAACAGTAGTCTTGAGAGAGTTCTTTATTTGCGGACTTTTTATCTCGATATTGAGTTGATTAGTTTTCCACGCTACGAAAGTATCGAAAATCAAGTGTTGCGTTTGCACTTCATTTTGGATGAAAAATCGTAATGTGTGCCATGTTAATTTCAGCTTTGTCGTTTACCAAAAGCTGCAGCTATTTAAGTAAAAATATGTTAAATTAGTGAAGTTAGTGTCCCAAACTGTACGGAATTAAGTAATAGGTACACTAATGAAGGTGATAAACGTAAACTAAACTATAGTTCTATTCTAGATCTCCATACAGGCCAAAAATGTCTGGAACCTGGGGAGAGGCATTCGTTATCCTCGCTTTATTAATTGAGTCAGACAGAACGTGCTTTTACAAGTGCAACGGCAGCGGCGCTGGTGGTGTAGTGGTAAGCGTGATTACCTCTCACCCCAGCAGGCCTGGGTTCAATCCCAGTCGGCGCCGCCGGGATGTTCTGAGGCATAACATCTCCAATCACGCCTTCCTTCGGAAGGGAAGTAAAGCCGTGGATCCCCGGTTCATGAGTTGATGGGTCGATAGGTAGGGTCCAGGTGTGGGAGCTGCCTTCCTGGCACGTCGGTAGCATTGGTGCTCAGCACGGAAAACAAGATCGACGAAAAACAAATCAAAGAAAAAAAAAAAAAAAAGTGCAACGGCCTCCACCAGTTTATGATTCCGTTTTTAGTGAAGAGTACCATCACTCAGTTTTTGAAGGCAGCGGATCAGTGAAGGTAAGGACGTTTTAACATAGAGGTAACTCTAAGACCAGAAGGTCCTGAAGAAACGTGCTTAAGTTTTTGGCTCAGCTCTGGTACTATCTTCGGTCCCAAGCTTATCCATGCTCCCCTCGAAACATAGGAAAATCCACGAACCCCTCATTTTATCTGTCAAACTTTCATACCGAATCAAAACAAACATTGTGTTGTACTAGAATTTCGACTAGAAAGGAGTACGCTTATAGATGTACTTGGGACCAATAGGCTAGCCAAGTAGTGAACCAATTTAAAATCGTTAGTTTCCAACCGGTGGTTTTAGTTTTTCGACTCTGCTTCGTGGGTTGATTGTTGTTTATCTCTTTTTGTCTACCTAGATAATTGCAGTGTGATACATTTAAGCGTGTTGGAGTCTTGGGAGCCAAGAGTGGATCCAAGGAGTTTGCTTGGAACTTACCTTCTACGATGGTCCCCCGGTTAACACAATCCGATGGATATCGTCTTACAGAAGCATTGACCCGAAAATTGTTGGATAGCTTGAAGCTGACAGTGGCCAGCTCAAAAAACTGTATGACTCCAAGATCTTACATACCTCTTTTTTCTTAAATGTTCAAACTACCCCTGTACCCCTATAATAATAAATAAAACTACTGTATTGTTTATTTAATGCTCAATTGTCATACGTTATATAGAAGAAAATCAGTTAAAAACTTAATTAATCTTAATGACTTTTTACAGTAACAACCCGGTTTTAAGTATTTGTTTATTCAATATTCACTCTTTATGAAACAGTTACATTTGACCCAAAATGAAGTCTTTGCAAAATACTAAAAATTGGATACTTCGCAAAGAAGTCTATTTCGCCTGGTTGCAGTTAGGTGTCAAGATGAGTACAAAATACTTAATTTTGAGTTATTTCGTTTCTCCGTGTAGGTCCTCCTAAGTACCATTGACAGATTTTCTTCGCAGAGTTTCTCTTTGCATCCTCACGTTAAGACATTTCCACCTATTTTCAGCAATAAGGTCAATGAAAGAAGCACAGACAAACAGACATAACACATTGAATATTTCTCACTGTAAAACATCGTCGCTAAAACATATCCGCCATCTGTTGAGTACACTGTGGTGGGTAGTACGCTGAACAGATGGCGGTAGTGTGAAAACGTCAAACGCAAGGGGATTGACTATGCGCGCCACAGGTGGCGGTACTACCAACTAAGATACTTTTAAATTGACCGATAAATGCTTGTTGGATGAACATCTTGCGAGTGTTATTTCTGTTTGTCTGTGAAAGAAGCTTTTAGTTAACTTCTAATACGCATTTAACTTCATACATGAAACGGTTCTGGAGCCAAGTTATTAACAAAATAGAAAGTCGATGAAGAGAATCAATCAATGTTATCTACACTCTAAGCTACGATTACCTAAAACAATCGGTAGTTCGTCGTTACTGTTTACTTAAAATAGGTTATTTGAACTCTAAGGACATTTTCAACGTTAATTTTTGGTAAAAAAAACCAGAAAATAAAATAATCACCGGCTCTGAGGTTCATTGCGCAAGTCAAAACGAAGCATTTCTAGGGGCATCCTACTCTAAACTTTTTATTTTTCCTAATATACATATAAAAATCTTAGTGATATCTAAGATACCCAAAAATACTTAAAAATACTTAAGAAATATCTAGCGTTAGTTTATTTGTTTGGTTGCTATGTCAATTTCATTTGCTTGTTTATCCAATGTCAGGCGTTTTGTGTGGATATTGGTTAATTTGTTAAGCAATTAGCATTCATTTGATTAGGAGCGTGAACAGCTATAGGTGTCCCGGACCATTTTCGGTGTAATCTGTTCACCATGTACCAGAAAGAATTAATTCTGATAGGCATTGGAACCTTGATGATGTAAAAGTATCATATTCTTTTCATCACCGCTGGCCATTGGCCAGCGGGGCAAACGACTGGGTAATGCGTACCACCAGTACCGCGAGTACTTGAAGGATAAAATAGACCCCATTAGTGGTCCATTAGCCTCTTACCCAGTAACTCCTATCCCTACCTCCTCGTGGTGTCTCCTGGGATATGAGCAACCTTAGCGAAGATCGGGTAACCAACCCCGGTGGGAGCTTTGGTCATATGCTGACAGGGAAGGGGGCCCCTAGCGGGCCTACACGGCCTGAGCGTCTGTTCACCATGGAGGTGCGGCTCAAACAGCGTCTGACTGGCATCCAGCGGCTGAATAAGAAATGCTGTATTGTGTCAGCTAAATCTAAGATGGCAGCCCCATCTACACAATAACTGAGCGTCTGTCCACCATGGAGGTGCGGCTCAAACAGCGTCTGCCTGGCATCCAGCGGCTGAAACAAGAAATGCTTATCCCCGAAAGCTATACCCAAGATGGCAGCCCCATCACGGCGGATAGGAGACCTTAGGCTAACTACCTACTGTCCCCGAAACTTTACAACTGTTACAGAAACCAATAGAGAAAGATCACGGACTGATATTACGGCAACGACTTTTAGCGCAAAACAACGGACAAGAATTGGAACATGGAATGTACTAACGCTAGCCCAACAGGGGAAGCTGGCACAACTCGCCAGCGAGGCTCGACGCATGAAGCTCGAAATCCTGGGACTAAGCGAAGTCCGTTGGCCAAACTTTGGAGAACACAAGCTGCCGTCGGGACAGGTACTACTCTATTCTGGTATTCGAGGTGAAAACGCTCCCCGCCACCGTGGAGTTGGTTTCCTGCTTAGCGCCCAAGCAAATGCGGCGCTCATCAAGTGGGAACCTATCAATGAGAGGATAATCGTTGCCAGATTCAGAACGCGGGTTCGTAACCTAACCATAATCCAATGTTATGCGCCAACCGATGCTGCCGAGTTACAGGACAAAGAGAACTTTTACAGTCAACTGAATGCAGTCGTGGATAAAATTCCGAGAGGTGACATCAAGATCTACATCGGCGACTTCAATGCGAAGATCGGCTCCGACAACACGGATTATGAGCGTGTCATGGGGCGCCATGGTCTTGGCGAAATGAGCGAAAACGGTGAGCTGTTGGCAGAGTTTTGTGGCAATAACGACATGGTGATCGGGGGTTCGCTCTTCCCCCATCGACCAGTGCACAAAGTCACGTGGGTTTCCCGTGATGGACATACCGAAAATCAAATCGACCACATCTGCATCAGCCGAAAATGGAGAAGGAGCCTTCTTGACGTTCGGAACAAACGCAGTGCCGACATCGCGTCTGACCACCATCTCCTCGTTGGAGAGATCCGCCTTCGTATCGCGCGGGTCCAGCGGCGGGAGGAGCGGCTCGGACGGCGATTCAACACACGCCGATTGGAAGATCCAGCAGTAAAAAGGTCATTCGTCGAGGAACTGGAGACCAGAGCTGCGGATATTCCTGATGGTGGCAGCGTAGAAGAGCAATTAACGGCGATCAAGGATGCCTTTACTGAAACGAGTGAAAACAACCTGGGCGAGCTGCGCGCTCAGAGAAAGGAGTGGATCACGGATGACACCTGGAGGAAGATAGAGGAGCGGAGAAATGCAAAAGCCGCGATAGAGCGGGCGAGAACCAGAGGAGCGAAGAACCAGGCCCGCCAACTGTATTCGGCTCTCGAGAAGGAAGTGAAGCGCTCGTGTAGGCGGGATAAGCGAGCGTGGGTGGACTCCCTAGCCGATGAAGGTGAGAAAGCCGCAGCAACAGGCGATATCCGTCTCCTCTACGATATCTCACGACGCCTGAGTGGAGCAAGGATGAATCCTAGGATGCCAGTGAAG